CGGGCGCGTGTGCGTGCGTGCCCAAGATCCCGAGAGGAGAATGGAGGAGAAGGGATTGCGGCGTGGCCATCCCCCCTGGGGGGTGATTTCCTGCTTTCTATCTCTCTGTCTCTCTCTGTCTGTCTGGCGAGCGCACGCGCCCTATAGCAAAAACCTCTCCAAAAAAAAAAAAATTATAATGAGTCAATAAAAGCATTTAAAATGAAATTTCAAATTTTTTTCCACAGAAGAAACAAGACACTTTGCAGTTTCCTTGGACATTCACATATGAATGTCAGTGCTATGTAAAAGCAAGTTTGCTTCAATCAGAATATGTAAGACATTAAACAGTAGGAACGAACTATACTACCCTGAAACTTTCTCAGTTGAGACCAAGCTATTCATAAATCTTTAGAAATAATTTTCACAGGAAATAAATAATTTAAAAAAAAAATTACATGATGAAGGAAGAAAGCCAAAATATCTTAAGTTTTAGATTTTTTAAATATGGGTTAAAAAATACAGTATTTTCATGTCAAAGTAATTTAAAAATTATGACTAATTTAAAAATCTCCTGTAAAAACAAACAAAAAGCCTGAGTTTTGTTTTTGAAAGAGTTTTAAATAAGTTCTTAGATGTCCACTAATAAGAAACAAACTTTATCAATAAAGGCACACACAAGGATAAAAACCTCTGAACCATGCTTGATTGCTCTGATACACTAAGAGGGCAGAATAAACAAAATGAAACACTATAAGTTTCTCATCGTAAAGTGTTTTCTTGATGCCTTCCACTCTGAACACTCTGTCTTCATAAAATGGCACTGGACCACAGCACATTCTGTTGACTGGCATTTTATGAGAACAAAATCCAACCAGCTTTTCTATCTCAGTATTAAACCAGGCCAAAATGAACAGCCACTTAAGGGAGTTTTTATTGGATCATTGGAAAAGACATAGAGCATTTTTACATAGAAAAACAGGACATAACTTTTTTGATGACCTAATATTTTCACTTGTTTCTTTCTTACAATCTCTGGAGACAAAAACAAAACAAACACAAAATTTAACATAAACTCCTTGATGCTAATAGACTAACTTCAGAGATTTAATCCACTTTTCAAGTTTTTGCTTTCCTGTAAACTTGAGTGCAAACTGAACTATACTGTATTCTTTGGTCAACTGCGTGTCTCAGTAAAGCACCCAACTTTGTAAAATAGTATTTTAATAATACTCCCAATTAGCGAGCTCTCCCTTTACTCAAGAGACTTTGTTCTTACTCAAAACTCTTTGTTCACACAGCAAATTGGTGAAAACAATACAGGGCAAGAGTTTGGGATCCACTTTCCATTTCCACCAGCAATATGGGAGGTTCCAATTTCTCTACATCCTCATGAACACTTTTTATTGTTCCTCTCTTGTATAACAGCCATTCTAGTGGGGGTGAAGTGGTATATCATTGTGGTTTTGATTTACATTTCCCTAACAAGTAATGATGTTGGAGCATCTTTTCGGCTTACTAGCCATTTGTCTGTCTTCTTTAGAAAAAGTATTCATTCAATTCGGTGATCCATTTTTAACACTGGATTATTTGTCTTCTACTACTGAGTCGTTAAGAATTCTTTATATATTCTGGATACTAGATGCTTATGAGATAGATGATTTGCAAACATTTTCTATCATTCTGTAGGTTGTCTTTTGACTGTCTTGATAATGTCCTTTGAAGCACAAGGTGTTGGGTTTTTGTTTTTTTGTTTAAGGGTTTTTGTGTGTGTGTTTGTTTGTTTTTTGCTATAGGGCACTTGCGTTCACCAGAGACAGAAAGCAAGAAATCAACCTCAGGAAGGATGGCCACACTGCAATCCCTTCTGCTCCATTCTCCTCTCAGGATCTTGAGCACACACGCACACATGCCCGGCAATGCACAAGTATTTTTTAACTTTAATTTTCATAATTTTTCCTTTGGTTGCTTGTGCTTTTGGCATAATATCTAGGAAACTAACACAGCTTCATGAAGATATACACCCATGTGTTTGTTGAAGGGCTTCATAGTTTTAGTCCTTAAATATAATCCTTTGATCCATTTTAGTTCAGCTGGGTATGAAAGGTGATTCTAAATCAACTGACCAGAAATGTTACACTTTATTTCAGGACTCTCAATTCTATGTCATTGACTTGTATGCCCATCTTTATGTTAGCTAGTACATCACTGATTACAGTAGCTCTGTAATACATTTTTGAAATCAAGAATATGAACTTTTAGGGAACCAGCAATTAGCGTAATGCCTATGTCACTGGACTCCCACGTAGTCGACCGCGGTTCATGTCCCGGACCCGGTGGCTTAAAACTCACGCCAGGCGCGTGTGCGTGCATGCCCAAGATCCCGAGAGGAGAATGGAGGAGAAGGGATTGCGGCGTGACCATCCCCCCTGGGGGGTGATTTCTCGCTTTCTGTCTCTATGTCTCTGTCTGTCTGGCGAGCGCACGCCCCCTACAGTGAAAATCTCTCAAAAAATCCCGAGAGGAGAATGGAGGAGAAGGGATTGCGGCGTGACCATCCCCCCTGGGGGGTGATTTCTCGCTTTCTGTCTCTATGTCTCTGTCTGTCTGGCGAGCGCACGCCCCCTACAGTGAAAATCTCTCAAAAAATCCCGAGAGGAGAATGGAGGAGAAGGGATTGCGGCGTGACCATCCCCCCTGGGGGGTGATTTCTCGCTTTCTGTCTCTATGTCTCTGTCTGTCTGGCGAGCGCACGCCCCCTACAGTGAAAATCTCTCAAAAAAAAAAAACAAAAAAACGAATATGAACTTTTTCAAGTCTGTTTTGGCTATTCTGAGTCCCCTGAATTTCCATATGAATTTTAAAACCTTGTCAATGATTTAAGTGGGGGGGCGCACAGCAGAAACTTGACAGAGATTGCATTGAACCTGTAGGTTGATTCAGGAACCTACACTTTTTTTAATACTTCTTGGTACTTACCAAATTTTCCCACAATGAACATGCATGGTTTTGATAACCAGGAAAATCAGGAAAAATAATTAAGAAACCAGTAAGTAAATCATGAATACTCTGTAGACCTGTAGTTTTTAAATACCTCAGTGCATTAATTGGTTTGAATTAAAGTCTGATTGATTTTAACAGATACTAAGAAAACTCTTAACTTTCAGGTTAGTTTTGAGAATATAACCTAAAAGTTAAAAGAATTCATTTGACCAAGGTATTGTGTTAAAGGGATTACAGAGGTGAATTTACCATCTGGGAATATAATCTACCTCAAAGACAATGGTCTTGACCTTGTTAAGATCAAAGACCTCAACAATGGCTACAAAATGTAAAATGACCATAGAGTGATGGAGGTAACTGGAAGGCTTTTAAAAAGAGACTATGGTTAAGGCCATCCACACTGGGGTTCCCACAACAGAACACTACAGTGCACTTGGTATGGTTAAGAGAAAACACTCTT